CAAGCTCTTAAAAGATAAACAATCCCTCAATCAAATAAAATACTATTATGGGAAGAAAAGAAAAAAAATAAAAAATCAAGGAGCAAATCCCTGTTTCATTAACCAAGCTGAACTTCACTTCTCAGTCATCCCTCACCACTCTTTCCGTCCATTCATTCACTAACTGAACTGCCCTGTCATTCATCTTTTCCAGAAGGAGTCATACGACTAGCACTGCACAACACCAAAACTCATGCTCCACCAATAGGGGTGGTCACCAATAAAGTGAGGTGAGTATATTAAAATAGCCGAAGCTGGATGAATAAATAAATAAATAGATATAATAATAAAAGCATAAAATCAAACGTCACATTTAAAAGAGAGTGCAGTAGGGCTGGAAGGCTTGAACTTTTTCCCACAGGTTGCTGAATCACCTGTGGGGTTACGCGCCGCGGCGCGTACAAGGGGCGTCATAGTCCTTGAATTCATGGTATATGCTGAATGGAACTACGGAGTGTTATTAACGACATTGTTAGAAGCGCGTGATTATGGGAGATTCCTAATTGGCTTAGGTTTCTGATAGTTCCCCTGGGTATCGCCCTTCGTGTTCCTACCACAATTGACAGAGCAAGCTGCCCACCTCTGAGGAAATCGAGGTAGCAAGCGGCTATATTTGTTTCCGTCTTCGTGGCGGACTGTTACATCGACCACGAAGACCCTTCCCCGGCTTTGTATTACCAGGTCAAATTTGAGATTCCCGCCTCTGGTTGCTGCCACTATCGGTTCAACCGTTATCCATACCTCTGGACCAGCAGTTTTCCTCGGGCACTTACTACATCCTTTGTAGTTTGCTGGGTGTCCTTCTCCGCAAAGGCAGCACTTGGCATTTCGTTGCCCTGTTGCGGGGAAAGGCCCTACTTCCCCTCCCCCCTTTTTTTGGGGGGGGGGTGAGGAATACCTATTTTTTCAAAAATCAAACCCAAAACATATAAAAGAAAACCTAACCTAATCCTAAAAACCAATCAATAAACATAAAAACATTGAATCATAATTAAATACTATAAAAGAAAATAACCTAACATATTCAAAAAACATGAAGAGAAATAAAGAAAAGAAATTAATAATACCCATTATTCCTAGTGCTCCTATTTTTTCAAAATCAAAATTAAACACTATAAAAGAAAACATAACCTAATCCTAAACCAATCGATAAATATAAAACATTGAATCAAATACTATAAAAGAAAATAACCTAACATATTCTAAAAACACAAAGAGAAAGAAAACAAATCAATAATACCCAAGAACGAGATATAAAACACAAGCTCTTAAAAGATAAACAATCCCTCAATCAAATAAAATACTATTATGGGAAGAAAAGAAAAAAAATAAAAAAATCAAGGAGCAAATCCCTGTTTCATTAACCAAGCTGAACTTCACTTCTCAGTCATCCCTCACCACTCTTTCGGTCCATTCGTTCACTAACTGAACTGCCCTGTCATTCATCTTCTCCAGAAGGAGTCATACGACTAGCACTGCACAACACCAAAACTCATGCTCCACCAATAGGGGTGGTCACCAATAAAGTGAGGTGAGTATATTAAAATAGCCGAAGCTGGACACCACAAAATGGATGAATAAATAAATAAATAAATAAATATAATAATAAAAGCATAAAATCAAACGTCACATTTAAAAGAGAGTGCAGTAGGGCTGGAAGGCTTGAACTTTTTCCCCACAGGTTGCTGAATCACCTGTGGGGTTGCGCGCCGCGGCGCGTACAAGGGGCGTCATAGTTCTTGAATTCATGGTATATGCTGAATGGAACTACGAAGTGTTATTAACGACATTGTTAGAAGCGCGTGATTATGGGAGATTCCTAATTTGCTTAGGTTTCTCATAGTTCCCCTGGGTATCGCCCCTCCTGTTCCTACCAAAATTGACAGAGCAAGCTGCCCACCTCTGAGGAAATTGAGGTAGCAAACGGCTATATTTGTTTCCGTCTTCATGGCGGACTGTTACATCGACCACGAAGACCCGTCCCCGGCTTTATATTACCAGGTCAAATTTGAGATTCCCGCCTCTGGTTGCCGCCACTATCGGTTCAACCGTTATCCATACCTCTGGACCAGCAGTTTTCCTCGGGCACTTACTACATCCTTTGTAGTTTGCTGGGTGTCCTTCTCCGCAAAGGCAGCACTTGGCATTTCGTTGCCCTGTTGCGGGGAAAGGCCCTACTTCCCCTCCCCCCTTTTTTTGGGGGGGGGTGAGGAATTCCTATTTTTTCAAAAATCAAACCCAAAACATATAAAAGAAAACCTAACCTAATCCTAAAAACCAATCAATAAACATAAAAACATTGAATCAAAATTAAATACTATAAAAGAAAATAACCTAACATTCAAAAAACATGAAGAGAAATAAAGAAAAGAAATTAATAATACCCATTATTCCTAGTGCTCCTATTTTTCAAAATCAAAATTAAACACTATAAAAGAAAACATAACCTAATCCTAAACCAATCGATAAATCTAAAACATTGAATCAAATACTATAAAAGAAAATAACCTAACATATTCTAAAAACACAAAGAGAAAGAAAACAAAACAATAATACCCAAGAACGAGATATAAAACACAAGCTCTTAAAAGATAAACAATCCCTCAGTCAAATAAAATACTATTATGGGAAGAAAAGAAAAAAAATTAAAAAAATCAAGTAGCAAATCCCTGTTTCATTAACCAAGCTGAACTTCACTTCTCAGTCATCCCTCACCACTCTTTCGGTCCATTCATTCACTAACTCAACTGCCCTGTCATTCATCTTCTCCAGAGCACACCCCGCCGCCTCGACCAGCCTTTTCTTAGAAGGAATCATACGACCAGCACCTACTGCACAACACCAAAACTCGTGCTCCACCAATAGGGGTGGTGACCAATAAAGTGAGGTGAGTATATTAAAATAGCTGGACACCACAAAATGGATGAATAAATAAATAAATACATATAATAATAAAAGCATAAAATCAAACGTCACATTTAAAAGAGAGTGCAGTAGGGCTGGAAGGCTTGAACTTTTTCCCACAGGTTGCTGAATCACCTGTGGGGTTGCGCGCCGCAGCGCGTACAAGGGGCGTCATAGTCCTTGAATTCATGGTATATGCTGAATGGAACTACGAAGTGTTATTAACGACATTGTTAGAAGCGCGTGATTATGGGAGATTCCTAATTTGCTTAGGTTTCTGATAGTTCCCCTGGGTATCGCCCCTCGTGTTGCTACCACAATTGACAGAGCAAGCTGCCCACCTCTGGGGAAATTGAGGGTACTTGCTATATTTGTTTACGTCTTCGTGGCGGATTGTTACATCGACCACGAAGACCCTTCCCCGGCTTTGTATTACCAGGTCAAATTTGAGATTCCCGCCTCTGGTTGCCGCCACTATCGGTTCAACCGTTATCGCTACCTCTGGACCTGTCTTTTTAAGCTCTTGCACGATGAGGTTCTTGGTTTCATCGTACCTTGTAGGTAGTGAGGAACTATATAAGTAGAGATAAGTCTACCTTCTGATGTAGCTTAAACTTCAGCTGTTGCACACGATTGCGAGATGACGCAAGGTCGGCTCGTATGCCCTCAGTTGTGACCCCAACCCAGGGGGACAACTTACATCCAAAGTCGACAAGGTGACCGCCGGTCCCCTCTAGCGGTATCGCCTCTCTCGAGTATAAGACCTGGGTCAGTTAAGTACCAGGAGTCTTTAGTGCGGTTTACACGGAATCTTCATACCTAGACTCGATAGGTATGCTTCCGTGTTACTTAACTGCTCCTTAGCGTGTGGTACAGTCTGCGCGACTAAGAGCAGCTCGTCGGCAAATTCCATTTTATACCCAGGCTTGTTTTCCTGCTTATCTAGTAAGGGTTCCAAAACTAGATTAAATAATTATGGACTTAGGGGGACACCTTGCTTGGCCCCTCGCTGGAGGCGTATTTCGACTGGCGCCTGATCAAGTTCAGTTTACTGTTGTCACATCCTCATATGCGTCTTCCACGAGACGTTCCACCTGTTCTAGAAAACCTTTGTGGCATAACGCGTGTCCTATTGCTTGGTGCGGCACACTATCGAATGCTTTGAACACGTTCAGCTGCGTTACGACCAGGCCATTTTTGTCTCAGCTCGTTGAGGATGTGAACATTATTGAAGTACCCAGATTCGTTCATGAAGCCCTTTTGTCTGGGTAATTGGAAGGTAGTTTTCAGTTAACTTCCTTCGTCCTTACCCTCTTTAGGGATCAACGTGGCCCGGTTCTTCCTCCAAGCGGTGGGAATCTTACCGCTAATTACGGTTAAGTTGCAAAATAGTTGCAGGACTTCGGTGGCACCGGGAACGCGCTTAACCTCCCCCTTTTTACCACCATATTATTGTTGTATTCACCCCCAGCAATGGCAGCTATCGCTGATACTTCGAATATCTTCGGGACTAGTGTAGGGGAGCCACCTTCTACTCTCAAATCATCGGCACTATTGTACCATCCATACTAGCGCTCGCTATGGTACCTCTTTCTGCGAGGTATCTGTCTCATCTGCTCTTATAGCTTTTCTGAACTATTTTGTCCCGGAGTTGCTTTAGATTGTAGAGCTTTGTCCGGTATCAGGTTCTGCATGCGCATTGCTATACGCAGTTCACCCCGGTACCGGAGTTCGCACTCCAACATGATTCTTTCCTCCTCTTCAGTGAAGACCACCAATCTTCTCTACCGAGGGGACCGCCGGGTACCGGCTGCCCTAGCTTCATTCCGGGTGAGAGGATGTCGGTGCTATGCTAGTGCACCGCGGCCGGAGTACCTTTCGCGGCTATTGGGGCAGGCCACGCTTACTGATTCGGGCATAGACAAGTTACTCGGTACGCCTTCTAGTTTCTGTTTATTCTGAAGGTGGGCCTGTTTGGATGAGTATCTTTTTGAGCACATCCTCCATTTGAACCGGGTTCGAATCTCCTTATGTTCCGATTTCAAGTGTTTTGTCTCATCATTTTAGGTCATGTGCAGGATGTTTATGCTTATTTTTAGGCATAGGGGGTATGGCTTTTCTGTGTAGGGATCAAAATCTCAATTCCGTTTTCATCGCCATTTTCTTTGCTTTGGGGCCCTTGTCCAGGATTTTGGGATGGTGTGGGCCCATCACCACCCCGATCTTCCGAGGCTCTGATTCGTCTGCTTGTAGCCTATAAATCACAGATGTGACTCGGCTGGCTGGGCGGAACGCATGTCTTCCGCTAAGGGGTAAGATACCTGGTGGTCTGTATCTTGCCGTCGGCTTTCCACACCGCCCCTTGTAGCTGCCCGCAGACAGACCCCGATCGGATAATCGGGGGGTTGGTTCCCTAGTTAGCCGTCATGCTCCTTCGAAATGCCAAACCAAAAGGTAAGGCGGATGTCAGTTACCCAGTGATCACCGCGTGGAGGTCAGGAACCTTTGACCAAGAGAGTCATATCTACTCCGGCGCTTCGTCTAACCGAGACGCGCCAGTAAGGCGGGCGGGCAACTGAAGTTGCTAAAAGGTATAGCTCATTGGGAACCCTTATCATCATTGAACCGCCTTCTCGATCTGCGAAGACCCATATGGTTTGGATTAACCAAGATGAGTCCACACCGAGTTGGTTCCCCGCTAAGATTTAGTGCCGCTGGCGGGTTCGATGGCGTAGTGCGTTCAAGATTGTAGTGCCCCATGTGTTCGAATTTGGCACCTTGGTATTCGAGGTTCGCCTGTCGGTTCAGAAGTGTTAGTTCTTCTCCTTCAGGCACCCTCTTGCGTTCAAAACTTGAACCATTTGTCTAGTCGTGGTTCACCGACGTTGTGCGTTTAAGTGATAATGTTTATTTGTTGGAATTTGTCACTTAAGTTTCCTGTGTCAACAGGCGCCTTTACGTTCAACTTGAACCTAATGTTATGCACGTCGGGTTCATTCTGCGTTCAAGTACTCCGTAAGTCAGCCGTGGTTAGCCTCGTACGTTGGATACTGCCGTCGATGAAGTCGTTCGCCATCTCAATTGATGAGCGAAGAGCAATCATTGAGAGTGTTCTGCATAACGACTTGGAATAAATTCCTAGACGCCGTAGGCCATTGACCGTAGTCCTGGGTAGTGCCCCTCTCGCGCCAATGATGATTGGGATCACTTCCACTTCTACGTCTCCAAAGATTTCTCGGAGAGAGTTTTTCAGTAACGAGTAGTTGGCCACTTTTTCTTCGTGGGCTTCCTTTAGCGTGTTTTGCCCTCGTTGCGGACTATATAGTCGACTACTTGGGCACTTCGCTGGCCTACTACGGCCAGAACCGGTTTCACTACGCCATTGGACATGCGGAACGTTGACTCACGGAGTAACTCCAGATTGCGCCGGTTTATTTTTATACTTTTGACTCGACGAGGTTACCAGTCTCTTCGTGTCTGTTTATAACTCGCGGCTTCAACTCTGGACATCCTCCAATCCTCCAAAAGGTCGGCATCTGGATTCGAAGCAGCTTAGCTGCCTTTTCCGCCTCTGCGGACCGCACAGATGACATTCTGATGTTTCTGACTATGGAGTCTATTGACTCCTGCATCCTCACGACCGAATTGATAACAGCAAGCTGTATATAATTTGTCATCCGGGTCACGCGTAGGCCACCTTCCGTCTTGCGCATATATATTACATACATAATGGTACTTTTCGATAGATGAAAGATTTTACGAACAACGTTCCGGATTTGTTGATCCACATCTCCTAATGCCGTCTTGGAAGGTGGGTTTAGCACCATTCCGTACCTTTATCTAGGATACACATACTCGAATATCAGCTTCAATTTCTGTCTTGCCGACCATTTTGCAGCAGAAACGAATTCCTTCGCGTTGTTTTTGCTAGAATTCCTCCTTTCCACGTAGTGAAGCTAACACCGAGGTAACGGATCGCTTCGTCTGGGTCGACATATTTGACTTCTTGATGTTTGATCTTAAGCTTGAGGTCCAAGATAGCCCAAGTTTTATGTAGCAGATTAAAAGTGAACGCGTTGCACTTGGCTATCGTGAGGTTCGTGCCTAGGGTGCTGAAATATTCAGCCACAAGTTGGATGTCCTCTACGGCGTCCTCTTCAGATTTGCTGATAACAATCAGATCATGCTCGAACGCCTGGACCGATACATTGCGTCCTCCCAGTGGAATTCCCCTTCCTTCCCGCTGATCAAGATATGTCGTGGGTCGACGACTGCTTTCCATAGTAGTGGACTAAGAGGATCGCCTTGCTTCACGCCTCTCTTCAGACTGATGTCTACTTGTTCGGTCATAGGTGGTAAGACCGTCTGACAATCCTTGTATTCGGCTATGTAAGGGGCTACTCCAAGCATTCTGAGCGCCGGTACTAATGCACCGTGTGACACTGTGTCAAGGGCTTTGAAGATATCAAGTATGGAACAAGCTCCACCTTGTTCCTCCTTCATCGCTTCCAACGTTTGACGGAAGAGGGAGACGTTCTGAGCCGCTCCCTCATCGTGCGTGAACCCTTTTTGTGCTCGGCTAAGTTCGATGTTTCCTCTAAGAGATTCATCACCCCCGAGAACAGTCTGGCTATGATTGAGCTGACAGTAATCGGTCGCCAATTGGCTGCCACTGTCAGTTCCTTGCCGTGTTTTGGGATCAGCGTTGTTCTATTACGTTTCCAGGATCCGGGGTAGAACCCAATCGCCAAACATATTATAGATCGCAGTCAGAAGAATGCGCGCTGTTCGGCGTATGTCCTTCTTAGTCACTTTGTCTGGCACCGCAGCAGTGTGCGTTTTCAGGCGTCGGTATCTTTTTTCTACCGTCCCGACCTGTATCGGGTTAATATCGACGACGCCCACCCTTGTAGCTACGGTCTCTTCCCAATCAGGTGGGAAGGATGTGGTTTCTTCAACGCCCCAGAGTCCGTTGTATAGGTCTCTTACCTGATCACCCGGGGGTAGTTCAGGTTGGCGGCGTTGTTCGATATCTGAGAGCCGATCCTCCACTACTAGCGTAGCTAGTTGTTTCGGTTCTTTCTCCCAGAGTTGTTGAACCGTAGCATACTCGTGTTGGCGTCTTTTGTCTCTACTTCCCCTAGCTCTGTGGTTAGCGTTTGCGGCCTTACCTCTCTGGCCGTTTCGGGGCAGATTGGGTTTGCCTCCCGCTAACTCGACGGTGAGTTCGTTAACGACGTTTTCGAGTTGTTTTACGAGTGGGTCAGATACGCTGATGACATCTTCAGCAGATCGAAAGCTCCCCGCAATTGCAGTTAACCTGACTGCCAAAGGCTGTATTTTAGCGTCCTTCGCCATCTTGTCATGGTGTTTGGCAAGTGTTCTGGTCGCCGAAGCTATCATACACTGCCTCCATCTCTTCTCTTCGTCGTCATACGATTTTTGTACTTTCGCCTGAGGCTTCAAGATCTTATTTATTGTCAATTGTTTGAGCAGTTTTGTTGTCTGATTCCCAAGTGAGCGGGGTACTGCTCTGTCACTCGTTCGAGGCGCTGGCCCGTTCGCCGGTTCAATCAGGCCGAGCAGACGACGATTGTCGCTGATCTGCCTTTGTGTTTTTCCCGGGAACTGCGACATCAAGAGCTTGTTAATGTATATTTGTCTCGCATACTCTTGGTTTAGTTGGGGCAGTTTCTGCTCCTCTTCCTCTGACCAAATCTTTGACCTGACTCCAGCATTCGTCTTCCTGGGAGCGGCTGCGTCAGCTAACCGCTTCTGGTTTCTGATTGCTGGGTGAGCATGTCGTTCATGCATCGATAGGCCAACTTTGGTAGGGAATGATGAGGAGCAGGCTTCGCACGTATGACCAGTTTCTGCGGGACGACCTAGTGGTCGGCATGATCGAATATGGTTCGAAATTCCCGATGTGGTCGTGCTCTTTCTGTCGCAGTGCGGACATTCCCAGTATGTTGTTACTTCTGCGTCTCTGATACGTGTGTTTTAGCGTCTTTCGCGCTTAGGAAGGACTGCATAATCCTCCCTGCGCGAGCGCATAGCGAGCAATTGTACCTCTCCGCAGGGTGTTTAAATATGACAGTATTTAGTGCGGCCTCGCATGGGTCTCCGGAGCCCGAGTCGGTGGGAGACTCAGGGTTTCCAGGAGAACTGCGTTCCGGCCCCTCAGTGGTCTGCCTGACTGTCTCAACTCCACTAGCAATTGTACGTAAAGTCGAGCACCGACAGCGAGAATCAAAACGCATTTCGAGAGCTTCATCATTCACAGTTGAATCGTCTCCAAATACGTCTCGAGCTTCGTCGCTTTCTGCGCTCCAACTCGTTCCGTACGCGCTGCTGCCACCACCAATCCGAACGGCAGTTTTTTGGTCAGGTGGTAATCCCGTACAGCGCTTATCCATTGCATATTTCGTTTTCCCGAGACAATCCTCCACTCACAGGGTCGGGACGCCCCGCGAGGCTTTCAGGTCGCGCTCTACTGACCTGCCCTTTGAGGACCTTTGACATGGGTGCGCTGGTGTGGTGTGTTCTAGTCCTCAGCGTCTTATGATATAGCTAGTAGCTACCGACGTGCGGGTAGTACCAGCGCCACCCGGCTGCTTTTCAAATTTTGTCCTAATCGCGATCCTTAGGGGATGCGATATCGTCGGACGGCGGATACAGACCGGTAAGGTGTATTCCGCTCGTTCAAGTTTGGTAAAATTACCGGTCTTCTAGTAGCGAGCCCTTTATAGAGCAACCGCACTTGCCCATATTGGTCGGTCCGGTTCGCTTGCAGACACTGTTTTCCAGATCTTACCGACCAAGAGTCTGGTGGTCCGCGGTCTAGTGAGCTGTCGAGGCATCCTCCTTCCAGGTTTGTTACCTGGAATGTATAGGATTCAACCTGCAGCAGACCTGTGCGGATTGTTGTTCAATTTAAGGCCCCCCCTATACTGAGTGTTCTTAGTATTTAAGGGAAGCCTTATTCCTTGTCTGAAATTTTTGCAGCCAAAAAGGCCCCTCGACACTACTAGAGGGACCGAGAGGCCCATATTTTGGTGTTATTTCCGACAAGTGTGGTTTACCTTCTTTATCTTGCGGGATCCTCTATAGGAGAGACAAACCAATAAAAGACCGGTATTCTTAAGGACCAGTCGACTCAACCTGTTCTTTGTCCTTTCCTGGCGGGAGTGACGAACACGTTTTGTCGTTTTAATCCGGTTTACCCTTGATACCTGGATTCCTCTATGGTTGTTTTGTATTGAGCTGACGCCAATTGGCTGCCACTGTCAGTTC